TAATAACCTTATATTATATATAAATATATAGTGAAGTATTTTTTAAAGATACCCAGACATAACAATCAACAAATCATATTCTTATCAACTAACTTTGACATAAGGACATAAATGAACTTACCTCCAAGACAAGAATGACTTTACCATTTGCTAATGTACATAACATATGTGTTAAGTGACTATACCCTTCAGGAGTTATGTGATATCCACCCTGAAAAAAAAAAACTTTAGGCAAGTGTTCTATCACAATATTTGTAGCACAGTAATTCTATGTTTCTAGACATTATACCTAGCCCTTCACTTCATCCATATATAAAATACTGAGCACAAAAGACACGAATCGCCAAAATGATAAAATTTAGTCCTCTTTTTTGCTTGTTACCTTTCTTTTATTACTTTCAACCAAAAATTAATTTGTAATTTCATTATAGTATTATTATTATTATTATTATAATTATACTTACTAATGGATCCCCCTTAGCAGCATCAAATCCTGATGATACCAATACTAATTCAGGACAAAACTGTAACGAAGAAATAACTATATAAATCATATTAAATAGTCATTGTCAACTTTTGACAATTCTACATAGGAAAACACACTTGTCTACATGTTACACGTGTGAATTAATTGTAAGTTCTCATCAATTTGAGATGTACTATATTGTTGGTAATAAATTATGTCTTCCTGCCACAGAGTAACATGTTGAAATGAAATCACTTACTTCCATAGCAATTGGCATAACAATTTGTTGAAAAGCTGCAATATATTCAGCATCTCCCATTCTAGCCTGTTGAGATATAACATATGACAACTTAATGTATTGAATAATTATCTTCATACAATCTCTTAAAGACATCATATATATTCCAAATAAGGACTGATGTAATCATCTTCTAAGATATCATTCTCTATATAAGGAGTGATACCTGAATGAGGTATCCTACATTCACCCATATTAGGTGGGAGCATAGGAGTGACCCAATTGTGTAATTACTCATCACCACTACAGGCTGACTGGTTTGAAAAATTGTAAACATTTCAACTTAGCAACTCGATATTCGAAAACAGTGTCTTACCCCATTCCATGCAATATTGACATTGTATCCTTTTCCTTTGTCTATGCCAATTCTATCATAATTGGCATCAGATGAACTTGGATAAAAGTATCCGTTGTCATAGCGATGTAATGATATGTACAGTACTGTGTCATCATTCTCAAACATATGTTGTATACCATTACCATGATGAATATCCCAATCAATAATTAAAATCCTGAAAAAATAAGATGTATAATTTATACCAGTGTATTACCTAGGTTTGGTTCACTTTAGTTCTTTTAGCACCATCCACAAAATAGTTCCATTTATATTTCATATCAGTATTATGATTTTACAACAATTTTATTTGCTTAAAGTAAAAGGCTATTCAAAACAATGTAAATTTCTTTATTTTTACATACTAGAAATTTTATGTTACAAGGAGGAAAAAATGAAATAAAAATATAAGGTCACTTGCTTCAAAGAAAATCAGTGTACAAAATGGAAAGAATGGAGTTCATATTTTGTCTGTTTTGGGGGATTTTCCAATTTTTTTCTATGGCGAGGATCTCAATACCTCATAAATGATATACATTGCCTTACAACATACTTGTTCATGTATAGAAGTAATAACAAATTGACATTCATTGTGGTCTATGCTAAATTTGTATGCATACATGTATTATTTGACAGCTTTTCTCAAAAATCAAATAAACAGTGACTTAAAAAAGTCCAAATACTGTAATAATATTTAAATGATTAATTATTGACAGACTTTGACACAAAATATTGTCACTTCTATATGCAGTTAAAATATGCGCACATGTCAAAACTCATGAGTAGAATTTTACCGTAAATTGAAGCATATGGAAATACAAACTTGGTGGTTTTAGAAAATAACAAGTTAAATTAGAACATGTTACACAAAGTTCTCCACGACAAATGGCATTAAACGGGTTAAGGCCAAAACTCCACTTCCGAGTAGAACTTTAGGAGAGCTTGGATTTGCATGAATTAAATGTACTTCAAATATTTGAAGGGAAAAGTAACGCATCATTTTTACAGGGCAATTAAAAATAATCTTACCTTTTGAGACCAAAATTATTCTGCGCATATTTAGCAGCTAAAGCAACATTATTAAAAAAACAAAAACCACATGGTTTGTCTTGTTCAGCATGATGGCCTGGAGGTCTGAAAAAAGAGAAGTTAGACACGTTTGTAAATAAACTATGCAAAAAAGCATTAAGGGACAAAATACTGAGACAGAATAAATTAAATAGCAAGCTGCTCCTACCTGACAATACATACACCATTCCTAACCTGCAAAAAATGAAGATACCACAGGTTTATTGATTATCTGACCATCAAACAAGATTTTAATAGTTCAACTGGAAGAAGCTATAGGGCCCTCTACAGGCAAAACCCACCAATAGATTTAACATACTAGTATGACTGAGGAATACATTTAGATGGCTAAATGGTACCCAAGAAACGAAAATAGTCAGAATCTTTCCAAATTACAAATATCCATAAATAATGTGAAAATATCGTGTTCTTTGGGAAATTATTATTTTAGTATTTTGTGTATAAAATTCATTTCATTACAGCTTTTGAATATGCATTGAATTTCAATTTTTTTTTTCTAGCATCTCCTTAGCTACCAAGATTTTGCTTCTTAACCTTCATGCAAGCCAGAATGCAGACTTATCTCTTTGCTATAAAGAAATGGATCAATTATTCAGAAACTTCAAATACAAATTAATATATCAATATAAGGGCAGTGGTCATCATGCAGCATGTATTTGACTTTTGTGTAAAAACCAATATATCACATTGAATAGTGCAATGGCCACCACCCTTTAGCAAACGCTTATTATTTACCTTTCCAGTGACCACTTCCTGTACAACATTGAGGACACTACCAGGCTGCCAGACAGGCACATTTGTAGGAAGACTGCAGATAATAATACACAAACACTTTTAAAATACACAAGGAAATAAATGAGAGA